ACAAACCTGCCATTTTTCAATCCGTATCCCTCTATTCCCTCCCTATTCATGTACCCATCTAGATGCCTCTTAAATGTCTTCAATGTGACCGTTTCCTCCATCTCTTCTGGTAGTACATTCCAGGCTGCTACCACTATCTGTGTGAAAAACTTCCCTTGCTCATCTCCCTTAAATCTTCCCCCTCTTGAACCTGTGCCCCCTTGTAACTGAAACTTCAACCCTGGGGAGAAGCCTCTGACTATCCACCCTATCTATGCCTCTTATAATTTTGTAGCCCTCTATCAGGTTTCCTCTCAGCCGCTGTCTCTCCAGTGAAAACAATCCTAGTCTTTTTAACCTTTCCTCATAGTCAATGCCCTGGAGACCGGGCAACATCCTGGTGAACCTTCTCTGCACTCTCTCCAAAGCTTCCACATCCTTCTGGTAAATGTGGTGACCAAAACTGCACACAATACTCCATATGCGGCCTAACGAGGGTGTTATATAGCTGCAACATGTTTTGCCAACTCTTGTACTCCACGCCCTAGGCGATGAAGGCAAGTATGCCATATGCCTTCTTAATCACTTTGGCTACCTGTGTTGCCACTTTCAGGGAATTGTGGACCTGCATGCCCAGAACCATCTGAATGTTAGTGTTCCTAAGGGTTCTGCCATTTATAATATAATTCACACCTAAATTTGATCCTCCAAAATGCATCACCTTGCATTTGTCTGGATTAAACTCCATCTGCCATTTTTGTGCCCAAGTCGCCAATCTGTCTATATCCTGTTGTATACTTTCACAATCGTTGGCACTATCAGCAACTCCAACAATCTTCATGTCATCGGCAAACTTGCTTATCAGACCACCCACGTTTTCCTCCAGATCATTTATATATACTACAAACAACAAAGGACCCAAGACTGACCCCTATGGAACACCACTAGTTACCGATCTCCATTCTGAAAAACATCCTTCCACTGCTACCCTCTGTCTTCTATGACCAAGCCAGTTTTATATCCATCTGGCCAGGCCATCCCAAATCCCTTGTGATTTTAGTTTTTGTACCAACCTGCCATGTGGGACTTTATCGAAGCCTTACTAAAGTCCGTATAAACTACATCCACAGCTCTTACCTCATCAATTATCCTTGTTACCTCTTCAAAAAATTCAATCAAGTTGATGAGACATGACCTTCCCCGTACAAAACCATGCTGCCTGTCACTAACTAGTCCATTTTCCTCCAAATGCGCATCTATCTTGTTCCTTAGTATCCTCTCCAAGAGCTTCCCCACCACAGGCGTCAAGCTCACTGCCCTATAATTTCCTGGATTATCCCTGCATCCTTTCTTAAACAATGTAACAACATTTGCTAATCTCCAGTCCTCTGGAACTTCACCTGTGGTCAACAAAGATGTGAAGATATCTGCCAATGCCTCAGCTATTTCCTCTCTTGCCTCTCTGAGTAACCTGGGGTAGATCCCATCTGGTCCTGGGGACTTGTCTATCTTAATGCAATTTAGGATTTCAAAACCTTCCTCTTTCAATATGTTGACATTCTCTAGAGTATTCACACACTCATCCCTAACCTCAACATTAGTCATGTCCTTCTCCTTGGTGAATACTGATACAAAGTACTCATTCAGGATCTCCCCCACTTCCTGTGGCTGTATGTATAACTTCCCTCCTTCATCCTTTAGTGGATTAACTGTGGCTAAAGACATTTCATGGCCCCTTTTTGCCTTCCTAATTGCGCATTTAGGTTCCTTCCTAATTTCTGTGTACTCCTCCAGGGCTTCGTTAGTTTGTAGCTACCTGGACTTGTTGTATGCTTCCCTTTTTCTTTGGACTAACCTTACAATTTCCCTTGTCATCCATGGTTCCTGAATCCTGCCATTCCTATCCTTTAGTTTTGCAGGGACATGCATGTCCTGCACTTAAGTCAGTTGGTCTTTAAAAGCCTCCCACACACCAGAGGTAGATTTGCCCTCAAATAACTGCTTCCAATCCACATTCTCCAGTTCCTGTGCAATTTGGGTGTAATTGGCTCCTGCCCAATTAAGCACCCTCACCCGAGGGCCACTTGTGTCATTTTCCATGACTACTCGAAATCTTATGGAGTTATGGTCACTAAGCCCGAAATGCTCTCCTACTGAAACATCAATCACCTGTCCTGGCTCATTCCCTAGGACAAGTCTAATATGGTCTCCTCTCTGGTTGGAATGGGTGGAGAATGGCTCTAAGTCATGATGCTCATTCAGAGAGTTGGGGCAGACATAATGGACTGAAAAGTCTTCTGTATTTTGAATGGTTCTGAGATTTAAATCCACCCAGATTGGTCCTCAATTTAATGTCACACCTGAAAGGTGGCACCCCTGACAGTGCAGAAGTCCCTCAATTCTATGCTGGAATGTCAGTCTAGATTTTTATAATCAAGCCCTAGACTGGGACTTTAGAGTGAATCAGAGAGAGTGATGCTAAGTAAGCAACTGCGGTTCACTAATGGCCCTTAGGAAAGGAAACTGCCATCCTTAATAAAAACCGAAAGAACTGCAGATGCTGTAAATCAGGAACAAAAACAGAAGTTTCTGGAAAAGCTCAACAGGTCTAGCAGCATCTGTGAAGAAAAAATCAGAGTTAATGTTTTGGGTCTAGTCACTGGACCCAAAACATTCTGAGGAACAGTCACCGGATCTGAAATGTTAACTCTGATTTTTTATTCACAGAAACTGCTATTCTTACCTGGTCCAGCCTATATGTGACTGCAGACCCGCAACGATGTGGTTGATTCTTAACTGCCCTCTGGGCAATTAGGGATGGGCAATAAATGCTGGTCTAACTAGCTTCGTCTTCATCCCATGAATGAATAAAATGACATCTGATACTTTGTCACAAAGATAGGTTTTCAGGTGAGTCTTAAAGGAAGAGAGCAATAGAGAGGTAGAAAGGTTTTGAGAGGGAATTTCAGAGTATTCAAAACAATTGGGCAAGATCAGGAGAATGGATTTAGACTGATAGGAAATTAGATCAAAAACTGATTTGGATGGAGGAAAGATGGAGTAGGGATTAAGGACAGATCCTGAGGGTTGGTGAAAATGGCAGTGGTGCCTACATGGAACAGGTCCTATTCAATCTACATTGATGAATTGGGTAAAGGGTTATGGGAAGTAATATCAGATTTGGAGACTACTGAAATAAGAGGTCTAATAAATAATTTTGAAGGACCAAAGAAAGCTGCAAGGGGAAATTGGTAAATTGATGGAATGGCCAAATGTTCTCCTTAGACAGCCCCTTGGGATTGAGGATGGCTTGATTCTACTCTGGTTCAACAACAGTTGATAAATCCAAAGTATGACTTACAGACTCTGCCACATGTTGGGGTAAGTGGTGCTTGAAGAGTCAGTTAGGTGGGTCATTTGAATGCTCCCTGTGCCTTTGCGTGTTCCTGGTGATGTCTTGCAATATTTTTTGGTACCTTCGTGAATGAATCTCCTCCATTTTGGTTAGCCGTGCCTTAAGCTGCCTGGGCCCTAAACTCTGGCATTTTTTTCTGTAAACCTCCAAGACTTAACCTAACTTTTTCTCCTGTAAGACATTTCTTGAAACTGACCTATTTGACC